GTTCACATTGAGAGCATTACTGCATGATAATACTTATAACTTCATTACTGGTTTAAGGACTGGAGTTGTTTTTAAAAAGAAAAGCACAACTGCCAAAATGGTTTTTAGCTTTTTTTGCTCGGTTTAAATAATTGTGTGTGTGTGTGTGTTGTAGACAGAGCCTGTGTCATGGCTTCACACATCAAAAAGCAGGAGTAAGTGACAGATCATTGTTCGCAGCAAGTGGCCAGTTCCCCCCAATCCCCACCCGGGTGGAGAGGCGCAGACCCCCTCACGGATGCCACTACCAGCTCCCATCAAAGCTGCAAAAACAGGCCCGACACCGAGAAACTGTCTCTTTAGGCGCCCGACTTTACACACAGCCCACAAACAAATGGGCCCCAAACCAAAGCACTTCACCTCTTGCTGCTATACTTCACGCGGCAGACTTAAGGACATTTTTACGGCGGCTACAGCAAACAGAGGAGGGTACGAGCGGCGCCCACATGCAGGCGCGAGTTGTCCTGCTTCCCCTCAAGTGTGTGAGAAAAGAAAACGCAGCCGCAAGCTGGCACACTCTCTGTTCTCGCACTCAAACCTGCATCTAAAATGTACCATGACCTACAGGGCTTATGTTGAGGTGTCACACACACACACACCTTCATCAATCGTAAAATCAAGTCACTTGTTTCTGATTCTTTTCACAGTTTTTTTTTTAATTTTATTTTATTGCCATCTTCGGAGCCTCACTCTGGGAGAGAAGTTGACCAGACTAATTGTCAGGTCCAGTTTAAGTTTCCAACAGGCCAAAGGAAAACAAACCAGGCCTCTCTCAGCTCCTGCTAACGCAACTTGAGCTCCCACTTTTTCTTCCCTTTTCTTATTTCTTCAGACAAATGAAAAAAAAAAAAAGAAGGTTGCTCCTGCAGGAGGAGGGGAAGAGAAGAGAAAATAAAAAGCATGCATGTTTGTGTATGTGAAAAAATAAGGAAGAAAAATAGACGTGTGAACGAGAAGCAGAATTTCAAGTGTAAAGTGTGGATGGGTGTTTGCTTAATATTCCTGAATGGGAGCAACGCACATATCTAAAATTACAGTGTGATATCTTGAGTCTCACACCCTCTTCATCGCCAACCCCCCCACCAATCATTCGCCTTATCCAAAGACATCACCCGGCTTGAAAGGTGCCTTTAGCAGGCTCCTTGAAGCGGGGAGTGGGGGTCCCGCTCTGGGACAATGATGGTTGAGGTGGAGGGGAGCCGGGGGAGCAGGAACACATAGCATATTAAATCTGCTGGCGGAGCTGGGTCGTCTGCCCAGAGAGCCAGAGAGCCAGATCTGAGGCATGCCCTGAAGGGATGGCTGGGCCTGGGGATTAGGAGGCCAAGGAGAAGCCCTCGCGCACCCGAAGACCCCTTCTTGTCTCTGCTCGCACGCAAATGCATCCAGACGTTTTGACGCTCCTCAGGTTTGCCATCTCAACCCAACTTTTCACTGCGCTCCTCTGCGCCTCGTGAAAACCCCCTGCACACACACACACACACACATTTCCACACGCTCTCATGCACAGCCTTTTTTTTTTCTTCCTCAATCACTACCTCTGTCTGACTTGTCCTCTTTCTTTCCCCACTGTGTCTGTTTCATTTGATGTCAACATATCAAAGTACCGAATCATCAAAGTGAGACATGTCTTTTGGGGGCCCATCTATTCAACCGCACCAGTTATATGCAAGGAAAGCAACAGCTAATCATATTACACAGGGAATTACTCCAAACTTTCACTGGTCACAATAAACCAACGATTGTCAGACGTGTTACTAGTTCCACTTCTGTGTGATTTCAAGAAACGTGCCATTTAAAAAAAGCAAACTAACACTAAAAATACACAACAATCCTCATTAACTCGGGGAAAAGCAGCTTCCTTCACATTACCCTGGCTTTAACAAAACACTCGCCACCTCTTTGAATACTTCAGGTCGCAGCATTAGCACAACAACACAGCTCATTAGGACCTCTTGCATACAAACCGATAACAGGTATTCTTCCTACGGGGTGTAAAAGGCCTGAGGACACAACCTGCCTTTAGGCCTTTAGAAAGAGGAGAGAGGGCCATACCTCAAAAGCTAATAGCATGTCATCTCCCTGCATTAACATGACAGCCCTTATTCTGCCAGGTCACGGGTGTCCCGGGCCAGTGTCACCATATGCATAGAATTACTTAACGCTGAGATAAAATAGCACTTGGCTGCTGCTGCTATCGGACGGAGTCACTCCTGCAGAGGGGAGCGTTATCCGCCTGTTCCTCACGTATGGAGCAGGAGAAGCAGAGAGCAGCGATGATGCATCTTTGCTGGCTACAGTAAGCGAGTGGCTCGGAGTTGTGCATCTCATTCCTGCAGATTAGCATCTTAAACACTGCTGCATTCATCACCGCCGCCGCATCATAATGAGGCAAAGTTGTTTCTCGGTTAACGTGCACCTGTTTGACATCACTATCACGATTCACCTTCAAAATGTAATTCTACGAACTCATAATATTCTTACATATCCTGAATAGGAATTTGTTTTTTTTTAATATCATGGAGACATTTTTTAGGGTTTATTCTTGGAAAAGGAAATATAAGAAAAAATAAAAATGATTTCAGTCATTTCTCTCCAAAGAAAATTCTCATTGAAGGAAAAAAAGTCACTGAAGATTTGATTGATAATGCTTAATTTAAGAACGGTGAAAAAAAATGTTTGCACATTGAAAAAAAAATGCTGTCACAAATTTGACGTTCAATAATAAAGATAGAGAGTTAATTTGCATTATTTTAAAAAACTTAAATAACAGGTCACACTCCACAAAATGTAAAATATACAAGAGAAAAAAGTACAGCCGTCATTGTTTAACCTCAATAAATAAAAAATTAATTACAAATAATCAGTTGCAATGTGGTCATTTCAAAATCACATGAGGCTTAATATCGGATCTGGATAAAGGCCTGATGTGTGTTTAAAATATTTCTAGTAACATTTTGACAGTGATTCATTTTCCACTTGTGAGGCCTGTAAAATATTATTTAGTTATTGTAAATAAAAACAGTGGAAATATTAAAATGATAATTTATGTGACAGCCCATTTGTTTTTATTTTTATTAGACAAATGTAACCAAGACCCAGGAAAAAAAAAAAAATACTGCTCCCTGGTAAATGGCCAAATCCACAGCAATGATGAATGATGGAAAGTGCCTCATAAAAATGGCTAAAGGGAGATTTTTATCTGTGCGAACTTGTGCCGTTTAACATCTTATTTGGTGCGTTCAGCCACTGCTCTGTCTCAAGGCAGCCAGACCTGCGTTAATAATTTGCCAAGTGTCAAAAAAAAAAGGAGGATTTGAGCTGCACCGCATGGCTGAGCACCTCGGACCCTCGTCGTCCGAATGAAACCCGAGAGCAGACAAGCAGATAAAATGTGGAACAGCTGGCGAGGACAGGAGGGAAAGTTTCAAACAAATATCTGCACATGTGGAGGCTCGGGGGGGCTCTCGAACGTTTTCATGTCCCGCACCCTCAAAATGAGCACACACACCTCTGGTAGGAGATTTTCTTTCACTCGGCATGTGAGAGGTGGTTTTTTTTTTAATGTTCATATTGTTTTTAAATGAATGACTGACTACAAAAAGCACAAACCTGTGATTGTTTTAATAAATCTTATCTACTTGTTACTTACAATTCCAGTAAATTCTAATAAGATAAATCACAGTGGATTTATACTATTTCTCATTTTGCTTGGGGCCCCATAAAACTCCCCACATGGACCCCTGCCGGGACACAGACCTCACTGTAATGGGCTTAAATTTCTCTCTGAGCACATGCCTTCAAACACACCATCAACTACTGATGTTGCCAAAAATATATCTCTCCTTTTTTCAAATGTGAAGCAGATAAATTAAACAAGACAGAACAGATAAAGAATGATTTCCTGTCGCTGAGTGATTTGTTTTAAATTAGGTCAGGTTTGCAGAAAGTGACAGACATCTTCTGCAGGGGAAAAACATTTAAATGTGAGGAGGTGTTAAGAATTATTTCACCTCAGTGGCAGAATATAATATACATATAATATAATTTTTAAAAATGAATTCAATGTTAGGAGGGGATGTGGACATTTTTGCAGAGAAAACCTTTCTTGCAAGATTTTTTTTTTTAAAAAGGCCTCATGTTGACATTTAACTTTTGTTTTAGTCAAAAGAAAAACCCCAAATCATGTCAGGTAAAAATGTTTAAGCTGTAAAATGAATTACGTGTAAATGTCAAAGGTCAAGATGAGGGTCAGCCACAGACCAGGTTGCATTTCGAAAAAAAAGAAAAGTACACCATGCCCCTGTATGTCTCCATAAACCTTTTTTTTCCCCTCTGAGTCCAACAGAATAAACAGACTCATTAACAGACACTGAAACATAATCACACGTGCACGTAAAACATGCACGCTCAAACACGACCCCCACCCACTCCCACGCGTGTTTCATAAGGCAAAAGTCCAATAAAGTTTGATCACGTCTGCAGGAGTTCATAAAGTTCCAGTTGAAAAACTCCCAGCACGTGTTTTTGTTTGTCTTACACAACACTTCAAATACCCCAAAAACTACTTTTCCCACTGACTCAGGCTCCAGGTTGCAGTTTTACGCAGCACATCTGTGAGCCGGACACTTGTTTAGCGTGTCACCCGAGGGTTTCTAACCACCTACACTTATTTCACACAGAATTAATCACATCCAGACGCAGCCTGGGCTACGAGTTCTGTTTTTTGGGATCCTCACAACCGACGCTTTCATCGTTGTTTTAAAGGAAAAGCCGCAGTTTTGATGGCAAAGCTCCTGCACTTTAATCCACGTCTTTAAACTTGTATGAAATTCCATCGTTCTGAAATGAGAAACCTCCTCTGAGCCGCTTCCCAAACTTTTACAAGCACACAAATTACGCACGACAGTGTTTGGTTTATAAAAAAAACTCTATTCCGCCTGTTTGAATTCAGTACTTACTTCTTTCTGTGGGTGTAATTCTCTTTTTAAATCTTCTCAGAAAAAGAGGTGATTTGTCTTCTCTCTCTCTCTCTCTTCTTCTTCTTCTTCTTCTTCTCCTCTTGCTCCTAAGTTGCAGATGTGCTTCTGGAGTTGCCTGTGGGACTTTTTTTTTTCTCTTTACGCTCCAACTCCAAAGCGGCGCAGCCAGAGTTTTTCCTCCTGCTTGTCTTTCTCCTCCTTCTCACAGTTTGCTGTGTTTGTCAACCACCGCCGGACCAACACCATCAGCCCGCCGATGATATCTGCCGATAGCAGACCGCAGACGTGCGTAAAAACCGACAGGAGCGTGAGAGAAGCGCATGGAGAGTTTGTTATTACATTTGGAGCGCTTTTTTTCCGAGGAGAAGAGAGGGAGAGGGCGAAGTGTGGATCTCCAGCTGCTCCTTCCCTCGCTTGACTCCTCCCTTCGGATTGCTCCCTCCTTTACTCACTGCCTCCCTCCTTTTTTAAATTTGGTGGACCCCCCCATTTCTTTCTTTCTTTTCTTTTCTTTCTTTCTTTCATGAACTTAGCATTTTTTTTAGAAACTTTGGTCCTGAGAAGCAGAATGTTTTAACTTGCAGAGCACAAACAAACATTAAACTTAGATCATACAGCTTCATTTTCCTCATATGGCTTCTACTACTTTTGGAAAATAGTTTTTTTTTTACAGATAAAGAAAGATGTTTTCATGTCTGAGTTGTCTTCCTGTTTGTTTGTGCCATATAACTTGAATGTGGACAAAAACCTCTTCATACAGTGAAACCACTTTAACATGTTTTACATAAACTTGCATAAATTACCCAGAAATGCCTTTTTCTATGTCTATTAACACAAATCCCAAATAATTAAAGTAATGCCACATATTGGCACTTTGAAAACCTCCCTGCACAATTCAGCTAAAGTGATTTCCACCAAAACCTTTGCTCTTAATCCTGATTAAATCACTAAAATAAACAATGGCATGGATGAATTTGCTGGAGAAAACCACAGCAACTGGCAGATCTGAGGATTTGTTTTCCAACACGAGCATGTTTTGTTTTTTAACTTCTGTTATCCAGGTAACTCACTCACTCCACTTCTTAATAATCCTTAAAATACTCACCTTAAAACTAAAACATTTAGATTTTACAGCAGTTTGACTCACATATCGGAAATGTGTCAATTTATGGCAGCTAAACCCGTCTCCTTGGCCTCAGCTATAAAGCTGCATTAAAGCCAGAGGAGAGCCTTCCTGTAGGGTTAGGTATAATCAATATACATAATCAATATACAGGGAAATTATGTGGTAAGGAGAGGTCTTTAGGGTGCCGCTTCAATCAATGAGGAGGTGGGAGTTTGGAGAGGGAAAATCACCGGCTAATCGTTTAACTAGGATTTAAATGAGTGTGTGTGGCCGAGAGGTCAAGTCCATGAAGCCACAGTTAGTGAGTTTACCCTGAGAGTCCCACACAGAGGAGCAGATACTGTGAGAAACAAAGAACATGTGTTATTTAAAGGAATTTATGTGTTTTAAAAAACACTTTTCCTGATTATTCTGCCAATTAAGTTCAGACTGGGTAATCACTGCCTCAATCAATCAGAGACTGAGAGCTTCTGTCACAACTGTCGACATCTGAGTCATCAATAAATGTTCAGATCTGATTTTGTCAGAACACGAAGATGGATTTAACAAGTTGACTCAGCCACAAAGTGTAAAATCAGACATTTGCATTCTTTGCATTTTCTACTCGCTGCCCATAAAATGTCACAAGTTGATATTTGATCCTAAATGAAAATACGGACACTGAAAAGAAGGTGAACACAGAAATGCTACAAATGCGCAGTGACAGAAAATAAGCTGTGATATAAATCAGTGTCAATACAATGAAAATGCTTGTGTCTGTGACGACAGGAAGTCGAGGCCGAGAGAGAGAGACAATCAAAGATGCTCTGTAAGACACGACTAATTCTCCTGTCAGTTTGTCAGGCGGTGCTCATCTGGCCCCGGACTACACAGAGATAAAGTCCTTGTTATGAATTTCTCAAAGAGAATCCGAGGAACGTGGAGGAGGTGGGGGAATGGCGGGCGGATGGGGGGGGGAGAACAAGAGGGTAAAGGAGGAGGGAGGTGGGGAGGGGGCGCACATGGGCATCAGTAGGGTTAGCGGCTCCCGAAAGTATTTCATCAAAGAGGGCCAGGATCCCAGGGATTGAGATTCTGCCTGGAGGCAAGTAACCAATGGTCTCCCAAGAACATACTCCAAAGTAGGACTCACAGAGCCAAAGCACACATCAAAAGCACCTCTGTAGCCAAAGCGATTCTGGAGGAGAAAGAAAGGGGTTCGGGTCCCTTCTTGGCCTCCTTTGAGCCCCTGATCTCACCCCAATTAAGAAGGAACTCCTGTTTGTTGCAGACCCTGCGATCTACAGACAGGGAGGTGCACTCACTAAGGTAGACAACCTCCCAAACGCACAATCGCACACATTCACACGCTCAAGTACATTGACACTTTTCTTCGCGGCACCGTGTCCAGCGTTGAAGGAAACGCTGAAGATCAACATCTGGGCCTTGCTGTGTGCTTATTTTTCAAATAATGACCGACTGACGGAGCGTGTTCCCAGTGTTCGGCCGTGATCTCACTGAAATGATGTGTGGTGCTCAGTGTGTCCACGTATGTTACACGAGTAACAGTAAATCAATATTTGGCAGAATGTTGTGTAGGCATTTGGATTTTTGCCTTTAATGCGTCGCTGCTGGACAGATGTCACATGTGAAATGGATACGGCAGAACGAGCATATTATATCCACACAGATGTGGCCGCTGAAAAAGGGATGACAGACGATCCTGTGAGCAGCAGCGTGGAAACAGCAAGCTCAAAAATACTCTATTACAAGTAGGACTCTTGCATTCGAGAACCAAAAGTAATGGTTCTCGATCTGCAAAAAATAATCTGTGAGTGTTGTGTTTATAATATATAGATAATATTTCATAACTACTGTGTGTATGTATCATATTGAAGCTGTTAAAGTGGAGATCAATTTGGATTTTTATTAATATACAGTTTGGTTTATTCCACAAAAATAATTTAGCGTATAAGAGTTGTTATTTTCTTCCTAGAAATAGGAACGATGATGAAGAAGTAACGTATAATTTAAAATTCAGGATGACAAATGCATTTTATTTGCACATGATATTTAAGAACACATGTTTTTAAATATTTAATCTTATGTCTGTGTTTCTAATCTGCCTGGAACGACTGTCCTGCTTTAAGAAATGTAAACGTTTTGATGGTTTCATTTGGTCTACAGCTACAACAATACATATTTTCTCATCTGGAAGGAGTTTTCTACCGCAGAAAGAAATTCTCTTTGAAAAGTGAGGTATACAGTGTCCTGCATGTGGGTTGTTAAGAGGAGCATTAAGGATGGGGCATCTGGTGGCCTCGTGGTTCAGACTCCTCGACTGCAGTGCTGGAGGTTTTGACGTCAGTCCGGGTCCTTTGTTCTTGTCGTAGCTCTTCTCTCTTTCCACATGTTTCCTGTCTGTCTCATTCACACACTTACAAAAAGGCAAAACAAACAGTAAAGGACTGACAAGGACACTTTTCTGTGGACACTGTGAGGACCACCAAGACCCCAACCGCCACCACCACCAGTGTATCAGAGGGGTTGAAGTTACGTGGTGTTTTAAAAGTGATTAATACTCAAAGGGAGGTAACATTGGACCACGCCTCCTTCGACAACTTCAACGAGAGCAAAGCGTTCTGAAGGAAACACCTGAAATCCACTCGGAAGAGATTTTATATATTTTACTTACTTTCACTCAAGTTGATGCAGTTTTATCTGTGAAGATTCTCAGTCCTCCAGGTGTCTTCAGAAGTTGTGATGGAGTATTTAATATGGCAGCAAGGTTACTTTTACTCAAGTGAAGCATCTGATTAGCTATAAGGAAAAATGGGAAATCGGCTTTGGTGGTAGAGCAGCTCATCCACTTGCTCAACAGTCACTGGTTCGATCCCCGGCTCCTTCAGTTGCACCTTTTCAATAGGTAAGATACAGAATGAAGACGTGCTGTATAAAGACAGCACATTTAACCTTTACCGTCCTGGATGTCCTTGTGTTGTAATCACTGTCCTTGGAAAACAAGGAGCTTTACGGGTTAGGAAGAACCATCACACGTGTTTTCTAATAATCCAGTGGATTTTAAATGATTTATCAAGCTCGAGAGGTGGTTTCATCCCTTAGAGACACACTTGATCCTTCAAGATATCTGAAAAATTCAATTTCACCAAATTTGGAGATACATTGTTTTCATAGTTCAGCGGAAATATTCTACTGTATTCATTAAAACAGAGAACACTGTCTGCTGTTTCCTTCTGCACTGTCGCTACAGGCCCTGAAGAATTTACCCAAAGTGTTTGCTTGACCTCTAACTACAAGTGCGACCCGACACCGGGGCCTGTGATTTGACTCCAAAACAAACCAAACTGAAGCTCCTGTGACCTCTCCTCCTCTGTCAGGTGATTATCTGAGCGTTATCCATCCTGAGCCTGAGTTCAAAGTCTCCTTCTACCTCGTTTTCCCTTTTCTGTGTCTGTCTTCTCACACATGCTGCACCTGCATGTGCACACTACAAGCAACCGCAACACAGAGCTCCCCTCCTCTCCCGCCAACATTCCTCCTTCTCCTCCCCCCTGCCGGAGGTATCGAGTGGCTTGAGTGGGCCATTAGTGTGAATGACTGATAAGACTCTCAGCCCCCAATAATCGGGGACAGAAGGGGATATTTGCAGTTATTTTGAATCCGTCAGAAATAATAAAACGCAAAACTATATCCACTTGGGCTATTTAAGCAATTTCCCCGTGATAACATCCCTTGGGGATTTCATGTGGATTCCAAATGACGACATAATAAAACCACGACGCCTGCACCCCCTTATCAGGCTGGATTAAAAGGGAATAATGAAACAGAGAGGGTTCGGAGCCTTGTGTGGCATGAATATGATTATCTAATGGACTCCAATGGAAAGGCATGTTAATTCCACTTTAACGCGAGACCTTTCCCAGACTATCTCCTGCCCCTGGCTCCTCCTAAGACGCCCTCCTTCCCTCGTCTCTCTGCCTCTTTCTCCTCTTCCTTTAAGTTTAAATAATCAGTCTGCTTTTTTTTTCTCCACACAACTCATTATGCCCGCCGTCTATATCTCTGTGTATGAACGTGAGCATGGGAGAGTGATAACCCCCCCCCCTTCCTCACTTTTCTTCCCCTCTATGATTGGAGTGTGTTGGCCTCTTAACTTTCACTCAAGGCAATTATCAATATTCAGATTTTGGTCTCTCTCCTGCACAGAGATCATTGTTGCTGGAAGAATGTGGGTCACTTTCATGCAAACTCAAATCAAAGTTTCTGAGCACCCAGCTGGAATCACATTACATGGTCTGACACTGGACTTACCCATGCTTCACTCACTGTAGACTGCATCGCTGTGTAAGAGTCGTCGTCAGCTCAAACCTACGCAGCCAATTTTCCAGTGTTAATATGGATTTAAATATTTATTCGTGCTACAAGGCCAATTTCTAAACTGAAATTTAACATCATCGATATATAATATATGTTTTACATTCTTGTGATGTCTGGGCCCAAATTAACAGGGGTTGATTTTTCTCCTTTTTTACAAATGTTAAGGATACAACAGCTGTCCTTTGTTTCAAAGACAAACAAACCATCCAACATAAAGATTTCAGTCATGCACAGGCTTTGCTGTGGAGACTCACTGATTACATTGTTGTGTTATCGATTCCGACTGATTAAAAGTACGTTTGTCTTCAGCAAGAAAAAGTCCCAAACCAGTTCAAGCTCATGAGCCGGTTGTAGGGAGGGGGGGTCATCATTAGACCCATTTGGAGCAACAAGACTCGTTGAGCCACGTATTCAAGTCCATTCTCATCCGGTGGAGGCACGGAGCAGTATTGTGGATCAGCGCACACATCCTGAGAGCAGACTGAGCTCCCACAGGACACAGTTAAAAAAAAAAGCATCAATATTTCATCAAACTACTCTCTCTTTCTGGTCCAGATCAAAGCCTCGACTCCCACAGTCCTACAGGTAGAGAGGACTCTTTTGTTTTTGCTCCTCAGGTAGAGCAGCAGTCAGACGGCGCTCGCTTGCAACGCTCAGCCCATCCATCTCGCAGCTTTACTGCCGAGCTCGTGGAGGAGGAGGTAAAAGGGAAGAGTAGAGACCGTGAGGGTGAAAACATGTTCCAGAGATGTCCAGAGATTGAACTTCTTGGCCTGGCAGTGCTGTGTTATTTCCTTCCCTCCCCCCCACTGGTTGGCCCAGAGTGAAACTAAAGGGGAAATCAAACAGCGGCTGTTGTCATTTGTCTTTGGAGGAAATAGTGTTGCTTACTTTCTTGTTCCTTGTCATCACCAGCAGCAGCAGCAGCAACTGCTTCTTATGACTGGAAACATTTGAAGATCCTGTCAAGTCAAAGGTCACCCTAATATGACTGTTTCTTTTAATTACATTTGTTTGTTTTTTAAGCAGCATTACAGAAAAACTGGTTGACGGATTACGATGAAACTTAGTTGG